TATTGTATTGTATTGTATTGTATTGTATTGTATTGTATTGTATTGTAAAGATCAGTGATAAAAGGGGAATTAACATTTTTTAAAGTTTATTTAAAATTTGTGGATTTGTGGAAGGACGGGGAAGGAGATCATATAACGAGAAGTGATTGTGGCCTGTGGTTCTTTCGTAGAATACGTATCAATCTCTTAGACTACCGATCTATTCTGAACTTATTCTGTAGTGTTGTGTCAGTTGGACGTCTTGTCAAGTGAAAGTAAACAACACATGACCACCGCGAAAAACTCTCAGAATTCACAGCACTCTCCAGGACCTCTACCCAGATCAAAAATACAACGACATTCGATACATGCTCGTGCGATGTTTCGTAAGCCTCACCAAAGGTTGAAGTCCGAAAAACAACGCGTTATAATAGAAACATTGTGCTCATCGTTAGAGTCTCATGCATACAATTTATAAAAGATGAAATAGGCTTGTGAGTAGATCATGTGTTCGGTCAGCCAATGGTCGTCACATCGCGCCGGACTATTTTCAATTCCATTTATTGAAACCTCCCCTTGGGCTTTAGAGTTACGTCAAAACGTTCTGTGCAAGAATTTAAAAAGTCCTACATGAGCTCAATTAGCTGTAATAATAATAGTTAGTTTTTTCACAATTTTCATATTTTGGTACCTTTTAAGTTTAGTAATCTTTTTAGCAGCTACTCCTTGCGAAAGAGTTAGTCCAGAGAAGTACTGCCACCGGACCTATTTGTGCCCCAAACAGTAATGTGAGCATTACTGCTTCCCGGTTTTGTCAACGTATGTCTCAGGGTGACAGGCGCAGTGGCAGTGCCGTTCAGATCTTTGCAATTTAAAGCTCTGAGTGACACTGGCAACTGTTATTGACTGTACTGTAGCTTACCATCAGGTGTACGGCTTGTTCGTCCCGTCACTTGATGTTATAAGAAAAATTCCTGTGGTAGGAGATCCCGATCTTCTTTAGTCACAGATATATTAAAGACAATATGTAAACTTAATATACTTTTATAGAATCTCTTAAACGATGAGATCGCATTTTGAAAAGTGAAATCCACGTAATATATTATGTAGTTATACCGAATTAGACATTTCATTAATAATGGATTATGTAGTTTGGTATTTCATTTTGTATGTAGGTATTTGTATGAGTGTACATCTAACGTCTCAACTGCCTCGTATTTATTAAATGTTTGCATTTAATTTCCTCGGGAGTACTTATGTTTTTTTTGTATTTTAGGTTTATTAGAGCGGAGAGAAGCTGCAATATTGAAAAGTGTAGCCGAGAGTGCAACGCCTGACGCTTCGAAGTAAATACCTTCCCCGAGAAGTGATCTGCAAATGTGTTGCATTTTGCTGTCGGTATTGCAGCTTCCGTTTCTCTTAATCCAATTGTTTGCCGCTTTGTGCGTCGGCGCAATAGCTAGATGCTGCAGGAACGAAGCGAAACCAAAGTGAAGGATATGGGGACACTGTTGTTGCTCGTCACTCGAGCTCCCACATCAATATGAAATAAACAAATAAGTAACACACAAACGCTCAAGGGTCAATATGAAAAAGAAATAATAACAAAGAACGACAGTCCCGTTATAGTTTTGTAGAGGAAAGTGAACATAATTGGAAGCAATGAATTTCGACGAAATTATTATTAACTTTATTACATATTAGGAAATCAAGTGTTAGGGATGAATATTGAACAACAATGGGCAACGTGGTGGTGTGCATAGTGATAACGACTTTGTTGCTGTGCGTGTCCCTGTGCCCGCCCTGCTGGAAATGTTGCTGCACGAAGGGCCAGGAGGATTGGAGAGGAGATAAAGAGGCTCAAGTCCGAGAAGCCAATAAGGGGAGAAACACGCGCGTGCCCCCAATGAGCAAAACTTCGCTGTGTCTGAAACTCCCACGCGACTTGCAAAGTGCTTCACCGTTGCGACCGCGTTGCAACAACTACCGCCGACTCGTTCCACGGAAACTGTGATCAGTGCACAACTGCTATTTGTTACCTTGCATTGGATTCAAGTTAGAGGCTGTCAAATCTTCGAATTAAATACGACAGTCCCATCTGATTCATGGTAATTTATTAAAAAATATATACTGATTTTTATTTGGTAAATGTTGTTTGTTGGTCTTATTTCACGTCTATCGTTGTTGCTTATCAATAGACAGGTAGGTATTACGGCTTATCGCTCACTTGCCAGCCACCAGGTCCACGTGTTAACAGTTTTTCTAATATTTCTAATTTCGATGCCTGCTTATAAAAGTAGGAACCTCTTACTCGTTTCCGTCACATAGGTACATATAATAATCAACAAAACATTTTGATGGCTGGTGCAGTGGATCATAAAGCAAAAATGGTGTCACCCACTATATCATATTTAACTTTGAGAACGCTCTTTCATCGGATATTATAGCGGCGTTTTGTTGTTTAGTGTAAAATAGACACGTGCTCGGTCACCATCTCATCTGACGTTATGCGAGGTTGTGGCCGACGTTGCTTCGGTGTCCTTGAGCTGCTGCATTGTTATAAAACCAAAGAGTCCAGAGTGCGCTAGCGCAAGCTCCATTTGCCCTAGCGCACTCTGCGCTGCGGTGGTAGCGATTCGTTCGCGATTCGCCTGCGGAAGTAGAGCGTCAACCAGAAGGAATTCATCGGATCCGTGCAATTAATATACTTAATACTGAGGTAGGTAAGTATATTACAATGTCGGGCACGCAGGTCGACTAAGTATTGCTCGTTTTGCTGTTAAAATTGTTTCGCGAGCTTAAGAAAACAGCCAAGAGCGTGTTGCTCTCAAAAAGCTACTAGAATTCCCAGTTCGAGCGGAACGGCTGCAGTGCATGCAAGTCTTACTCGAAACGTTTCGGACTAATTTCGTTCCGCTTATTTTTTTGTATTTACGTAAAATTTCATTGAAACTAAAGCCCAGTAGGTACTAGTCATAGAGTAATTGAATAAATTATAAATACCTGGAAGGAGGGCAGGGCGGTGGGTGCGCGCGCGCGCATCGTGTCGCGCTGCAAGCCAGTGGCTGCGAGCACGGCCGCACCGTTGCCGCAAGCCAGGCTCAGTAGCGACAGCGCCAGGAACGTCGTCAGCAGTGGGCCGCTGCAACAATACCGCAACATCGTTATCGTGATATTCCACTAGTGGATATAAGCCTCTTGAAAACAGAAGTGTTTAAAATCGTTGCCAGATATTTTGGCTCAGTTCTTCTCCTATTTAAGACTTTGATGTACAACAACATTCGAGGCTTTGCTCACAGTAAGCGAGTTCGGAGGCAGAATTCATGTGCCGGTGCTTCGGGGCCAGACCAACACAGTCGAAATATACCTGGACTAAACGGTGCTTTTTGTATGGGATGCAAAAGAAGCCGAATGTACGTGCAATGTAATGAATGTAATCGTCTATACGTCTGGGCCACAGAAAAGGGAATAAAAACCACAGTATTTTTTAATCTCTGTACTAGTGTTGCCCAAAATCAGTCTTGGTCTTGCAGTCTTGTTTTGCAAAATGCAAGACCAAGACCACCTAATTGTAGCAAGAACAAGACCAAGGCCGACCTTGCAAGATTTGGGCAAGAACACGACTCTTGCTGTCTCGCATTTACTTTGAATTGAGTTTTTTTATACATTTTATGCCTACAATTATAACCTACCAAGATTGTCACAAAACTACTAATTCAAACACAGCCTTACTTATTTATACAAGCGTAATCGAGTATATCACAGCGTTTGCAACACAGTTTTACGAATTTTAATACTGTGGTTTGCAGTCAATATTATCTATTTTATGCGATTGAATTTTATACTTAGGTATGTAGTTTGAAAGAGAAGCAATAGTTATTTTTATTTGCCATCGGTCGTTGACATCCTTTTTGGATGATGCTATGCATATTTGTGTTAACACACAGAATGACAGGTTCCAGATATGTAGTGAGCATTAAACATTTTTGGTTTTCTTTTATCATATCTCCTTTATTTTGCGAAGTTTAGAGAACTGTTATTTGTCAAAAGATTTGTAAATAAGTTAATCATTTATTTCGGTTGTTTACAGCGACTAGTAATAAAATAACAATGGTTTATGCAAAATTAGATATCTCAATAAAATTTAAACCTATATGACGTCAAGGGTGGTTGAAGCATTTTTATAAATATGGAAAAGTTAAGTTGGTGACGATTATAAATTGACATAAAAAATGTAACCCGCCCAGCATTAGGTACTAAATTCAAAATAACAATGTTATAGAAGTCAGCATTCGTGAACCAACCTTTAGCCTATCTCTAGTACATTAACGTAAATGTACATACATTATGCGCAAATGTCTAAATTTAAAGGAATAGGTTAAATATTGCAAATCGTAATAAGAGATGAATAATAGGAGTAAGAACGTTTTTTATTTTATCAACTCCTACAAAATGACATTAGTTAAAATATCACTAAACTTTATTGTCCAAAGTATAAGGCGGTACACATAATTGTTATAACGCTAGTTAATTTGCTTAAATAGTCACCGCTTTCTTATAAGACTGTGCGGCAAGTGTCGCGGCATCTTTGACAGCGCTCTTTGAGCGACCGAGGTCTTGTTAAAAGCCGCCGGTGTCCCAAGATTACCCATGGGCCCGTTGACTAAAAGTACATGAACCTCAAGTGAAATATGTGATTCACCAAATACAAAAGTTGAACATCTGGTCCTTATACATTGGTGGAGTGGGGCTCGCGTTGTGTGTACTCATTTAAATAAATAAAAGCGGTTAATTTGTCGCTCCAAATTTCAGAGTGTGTAATTGACAACAGTTTTTTAAGGCAATTCAATCCAAATCAAAACGATCTCATGAACTCCGGTTCCGTGGGAAATACAGTCAATGAACTGAGTGGAGTAAGGTACACACAAAAAATACTCTTTCCCAGTGCTCTGTGTTCGCAACACTGTATGTCGAGTATGTCGTCATACGGTAGTTCGGGGAAGAAAGGGCATAAAAGTTAAACTACAAAGTTTAAAAGGCTGGAAAAAAAGTAATATCTATTGGTCCATAAAATATATTTTTTATTTTTATATTAACTTTTTGGCGGATAACGAAACTTTGAGTCGGCAGAAGGATAAAGAACGCGAAAAATATGACAAAAAAAAAACTACTACCAAACATGGCAAAGCAAAACTCATTTTTTTATAAAATTGGTAGTGCTCAGTTTTGGGTATTTCCCGCTGTTATATGCCTCGGTACCGAATACCAAATTGTGACAGTACATTACGGCTTTGTCAGAGAAGAAACACATACGTGATTAGGGTTTTATTGCTGCCATTCTAATCTGTTTCTAAAGGATTATACTCTCACATAAGAGATTATACTTCTATTCATTAAAATATAAGAACGGGAATAAAGAAAACATTTTAAAGAAGTATTAAGAGGAAGCACGCATTGGCACGTTTCGCTGGCGTTCACATCATTCCAATAAACTGTTCCCAAATAATAATATTAATACCCTCGTGGCGCCCGCGTCGTCGTGTCGTCAGCGCCGCCGAAAGTAAAGGTGCTTTTCCACCGACGAGGCGAGACGAGTCGAGGCGAAGATTGAAATTTGTATGGCAAAATTTCAATTCTCTCTAGTGCGCCTTAGGTGGAAATGGCCTGGATTGACGAGGACAGGTATTTTTCATCAGATTATCTATCGATAGATAAGTGACGCAGCAGGCGCAAATATCATATTCGATGCGGTTGCGCGTGCGCACAGATGCACTTGGACGTGCTGCAAATACGATATACAGAGATAACAATGTAGCACGTTCTTTCAATTATCGATATTCACATTGGTGTGATTGTTATTATACGTACACGCGTCGTATTTTTACGAAACGTATGGTCAATTTGATTAATTCAGCTAAATAAAGAAACATTGCCCGCCGGAGACGAGAGGGCCATAGAACTTGCTTAACTAGATATTGTGTATGATATGTCGAATATAGAAATTTATTCACTGCAGACATATTTGCAGGTAAAAATCTTACTTTCCGAGTGTAAAACGGTAAGTTTCTGTCTTCGAACTGCAGTTTTAACCATACAACAGCATTAACGAGACACCGCCGTCCATGTTCAATTTCAGCACGCGCTATTCACAATTATTCGTGTGGTTTGCGTGTTTAACGTTACTCAGGAAGAGACAACGCGAACAATGGGAAGGAAGCATGACGACTGCGGAGTGATTTGCGCGCTCAATGGCGTGAGCATTTCACTGCCAAGGCACGCCGCGTGGCCGCCGCGCCCGCGCCGCCGTCGCCGTCGCCTCGCGTCTCACTGTTGTCATCGCGTTACGCTGCGCCTGCGCCGCCGGTATTTACCGTGCATAAAAATAATATCATAAAAATGTCGTATAATATCAGCAAATAAATGACAATTCGGAAGCTCTTGACTTTCAACAGTGACTTAGCACCTGCGGAATCGAGAACACGACAAGAATAAAAACAATAAATTATATACATAATTATATGCGGAATTTTGATGAACGAAGCATGTGGACGGAGTCAATTCTATCAATCTCACACTGGTATTTATTCGCGACGGCGACCATTATGCATTTAGCCCGCCTGGCCGCGCACTGCACGAGCGAGCGCCAACGCAGCGGAGCGTGCGGTTCCGGCGCACGCGCACGACACCCGATGCAGAGCGAAATGCATCATATTGAGAGACTCCTTTAAACTACCGGTCTTACATTTGAAAAACATCAAATTGGGCTTCGCATACTTTAAAGATATGTAGGTAAAGAAGTTCTCGCAAGAGATCTTTAGAATTTGAAATTATGAAAAAACACTATGAGAGAAGGAGAACTTAACTTAATTAAAACAGAATAAAGCGTTTTCTGTTTTACAACACTCCCTTGCTCATAGGGCATCATTGGCCAATGTTCTTATTTGATCGCCGAGATATACAATAATTATTTGATAATAGTAAAATAAAGTTTTACAAGGAAGTAAATGCTTTTTTTTTACTTAAATTCATTTCTGTAAGAGTTAACATGTTGCTGTAATTTAAATTCTCTTTTTTTATTAAAAGAAACCTACAGACGTTTTGGGAAGCTGTTGGTGCATAGTTTTGTAAACACATAATAAATAGATAAACAAATGACATGTCCCGTGTTAAAGCCATCACGACGTCACGCGTACCAATTCATAATTCTACATTTTTCGGTTTCTTTGTAATTGACGAAATCTTGGTCACAACCTTGTCTGATCTTAAGCTACGATAGCTTTGAATTATAGCAGAAAACACAGCACGCATCAGGAGGGACGAAGAAAAGCGCTTCGTGCCAAACGGATGGTAAATCAAAGACAAAAAGATAGAATGTTCCGGACTTAACTCAGAAGAAACAAAACTTCTCTTAATTCTAGCAGTCCGAAACACACGCTGACCTTTGACATAGAGCCACATTCCTCGAAACCGGAATTGGACCAAATTAATCTGAGTTCGTAGCATCGATTAACCGGCGATTTCCATTTCGCCGATTATTTTATTGACCTTCGATTTCTAAATTCAACATGATAATTCTCAGGTCTTTGCTAGCAGTGCGGTAGGCATGTCATCATGGTGGCGGGTCGCCTCATTCGGAACCGAGTAAAAATTAAACAGAATCCGGAATGAGCTGTCTTGAAAATCATTAAAATTGTCCCAAAAATATATCACCGCATTTAAATTATTGTCTGACTTACTCGATCCATGCGTGCACACTCATTTGATTTCATTAAAAAACAACATGTTAGACCACACCTAGTTTAGTTTGTTGAAGTTGAAGTGCATATACGTACAATATGTTTGTGTGCCTTAACTTATTTTGTTGCATGTCTTCTTCCACAAATAATTGAGATGTGGATGTTTTCAGCGTCTTGCGTGTAGTTGAATAAAATATTTAAAACATGACCATACGTATTGTATAATTTTTATAGATATAATTTAAAAAATATATGCTCGGCTCTACTAGCCCAAAGAGTGAAGCCTTTTAAAAAGTTGCTTTTGGCAAGATGAAAGTGCAGTGGATAAAACCGAAGAAAAACGGCTGTACATAATGTATATATAATACAGGATTGACCTGTGTTATAGAGCACCAGGCTCTCCCCT